GACGATGGTTTGGCCACGTGCCTTCTATTGCTGGCCTCTTCCCAGGAAAGATGGCAGCTAGCAGGGTGAGGCAGATCCTGCTTGTCGTTCTCCCCGCCCCACTTCCAGGCCATGCTCTATGGCCAGATTGAGACATTGGGGCATCTTAGAGTTGGTCAAAGATTGTGACGTTTTGGGTTAAAGTAAGTGCCCATATTGATTTGATATATGTATGTATATCTAATCATATATATATGTGGTTAGAAGTTTCTTAGAGTTCTTTCATCTCCAAGTATTCATCTGTAGTTTTGTTTTTCTAAAATAATTACTGGGGGAGCTGTAATTTCTCCAGACAGCAGTTGTATTTACAGTTTTTATGGCCAGTTTATGACCGTCAGCTGCTCGTGAAGCACAGACAGGATTCAAAAAAGCTGCGGCGGGAGGGGACCAGAGTGGAGGGAGGGGGGGACTTGCGTAGAGTTGTTTTGTCCTCAGAAAGGGAACGTGCGTGGGGGAGGTAAGGTGGCCGTGGGACGGGACATGTTCACAGAAGTGCCGGCAGAGCAGGCTGTTGATAGAGGCTGTTGACCCGGCAAGTAGCGCAAGGTTGAGACCGCGTTTGGAAGATTCAAATGCCGACCAAAGTTTGGATACCTCTTAGAATATTCTAGACCCAGGTTCTTTACTTGTACACACCCCCCCGAGTATTTTTTTAAAATATTATATTTCATGTTGCATCGTCAACAACTTTTAACGTCAATTTTTATAACCAATCTTAGACCTTTTGGCTGCTAATGGGTCTTTTGAATTGAGGTCTCTGAACACTCACAAATTCTTATTTCCTCCGATAAAGGCCTTTTGTGAGAAGCAGATGTAATTATAAATTGAGATTACTTGGAATTAAAAGAAGTGATTATAACTTAGAATTTAGACAATTCCCATCAGGTAATAAAATGATATCTGTCGTTTCTTAAATGCTATGCCTTTCATTTCATCCTCCATCACCTGACACTCGTGGATTTGAGCGTCTCTTCCTACAACAGCACAATTGGTGCCCTAGTCAGAAATGCGGACGGTTTCTAACTTCTTAAACAAGTAATTTTACAATGTTATCTTACCAACTCATATGCAATGGATCTGTCAGCTGCTTCCTAACCTCGGAATGTGTTCATTAAGATTCTGGACTTCCTCATGGTAGTTTTCAAGTGAAGAACTGATCACATTGTGATTGCCTTATAAGGCAGTGACTTGGGAAGCTGCTCTGGAAGGGAGGTAGGGGAGGAGCTGTCCGTGCAAGTAGGTGGAACACAGGACAGAGTAGGCATTCAGAAGGAACAAGAATCCCATGGGAACATGAGTGGGGAAGAGATTGTATCTTGTCTGACGTCGGTAGGGCGAGTGGGTTGGCAGGTAGAGGCAGGTGAGCCTAACAGTCGGGTGATGAAAGGATTTTGGCAGACACGTTGCATCAGAAAGACGTTTTGTGTGGAGACGACTACCTGAACAAAGGCAAGAACGTGGAAACAGGGTGGAATGGGGAGACGTGGGACGCACGGTGCTGATGGAGCAGAGTGAGTTGCGGGAGAGGCCTCGACATGAGCGTGGCTCTGGGCAGCGTGGGTGCCCTGTGCAGGCGGCTGCAGCTGCCCTGTGGGCCACAGGCGGCAGCTGCCATCTTGGGTCAGGAGAGCGCTGTTGGAGGCATGCTTCAGGAAGGGTTCTTTCCTAAGGCATGCTGGACAGAGAGACCGGCGGGGCAATCAGAAGGAGAGCTTCCTCGCTTCCTCGTGTGCCGGAGTTTTTCTGAAAGGTGTAATGTAAACTTCTGCCTATTTAAAGATGTGATGGTAATGATGCTGTCAGATATCTATCTATACTACATGAGTGTTACTTGAATATTTAAACTTAGACTTATTAAATTCACATTGCATATAGTATAATAAATTACCTATTTAAAAATGTTATAGGATTTCAAGTTATTTAAATATTATTTGCAGTTCCTATGGAGTCTGCTAAATTTAAGCTTATGTGTTAGTTGTCCAAAATGTGGAGTGATTATGAAATAATAGAGCCTAGTAGTTCCCCTGCAGGATGTGATTAGCTGTCTAAAGGAAGGGGTTGAGAACACGCAGTAATAATGCAGCGGAGCCGCGGTTTATTGTGAACGTGAAACAGACATCTTCCTACAGTGAACATTGTGAGTCGGAAGAGAGCTACGGAAAGTGTGTATGCAGGGTCTTGGTTTATTAGGGAAAAGCAAAACAGTATTTCTTTTATTTTCTTATATCATTCTATTTCATTATTTTTAAAAAGAAAGAGTTCTCTTTTTAGTTTGTCTCAATAAATGAGATTTTTTCTTTATGAATAGTAATCTTTGCGTACCAGAAATGGGGGAGGAGGGCTTGATCTGTAGTTTTAAAATAGATATTTGGTATTTTATTGTTTATATCAGTGTTGCTGAAAATAATTATTACTAGTATTATTACTAGACGTTTTTCTTGTCAGAGATGATAATAATTGATTATTGTATTTAAAAGGACGATTTTTATTACCTAAATCACAAGGACAGTATTACATTACCAATACATAATGCTGTGTGAAAGCGTAGGTAAGTGCCACTCGCACTGCAGACTGGTATTCTGCAATTCAGTAAGCGTGGCTTTTGTGTCAGTCAAGTAGAGAGCAGAAGAAAAATGTCAGAACTTCTAGAACCTTTTTTAAAAAATCTGGCGTAGGGTACTAGCTGTAAGGAAGTATCACACAGCATTTGCGGAAAAAGAAAAAGAGAGATTTTCAGCATCTGGGTCAGAGTTACTCACTGGTGGCTACAAAGAAAATCTAGGCTAGAACGTCAGCTCCCTGAGGGCAGGGCTGTGTCTGTTCTGTTCTTGGATGTGTCCGCAGAGCTCAGGACAGTAGAGCGTTCAGTGAATGTTTGTGACATGAGCGAAATTGTCATTTAAACAGCTGAATTGTTGAATTACACAGTTAATCACAGTTTATGTAGAAGTATGGAATACGTGACAAATGACTGTGAGGTGGTCTAGGAGGGAGCACGCGGTTTAACCAGTGGGGACAGTGGAGGGCTCGGAGGTCATTTCCCACAGTGCGTCTTAGGTCCCCAGGTTCAAGGGAACCCCGTACTGGCGTAAGTGAAGCCACTGAAGGGTCTGTTTAGTGCTCTTTTGTAAGTGACATGCTAAGATCAGAAAGTTGCTGTTTACTGAGTGCCTGCTGTGTATTTTTTATTGTGAAATTTCAAATTTACAAAAAAGTAGAAGCTTTGCAACTATCTGAGTGACATTTTTCATGGCAAAAGGAGCCAGGAAGGGACTGCCGGCTGCCCTCGGTGGCCCTGTTGTGTTGGAAGTGCCGAGTGGCTTCCGAGGGGCCTCCGGGAGGCAGCTGGGTGTCGGGGACGGGCAGGAGATCTGCACAGAGGCGGCAGGGTGGCTGTTGACATGGACGTGGGCGCAGAGAGGGAGCTTGAGATGAGAGGTCGGAAGGCCTGGGTGGAGAGGGCCAGGAGCGCACGGGGGAATCCTGGGCTTGACCAGTGTGAGCCTTTACAGGCTCAGCTCCCAGATCACGTCACCGTGTGAGGTTGGAAACATGCTGCTTCCCAAAATTGAATTGTTTTCTTAAATTGAGACATTTTATGCTCTTTTCAGAATGAGGTACCTAACAGATGGTTTTAGGCTCCCAGAACAATGCCATGCTGTCTGCTGGATTTTCCCTGAGGAAGAGCAGGGTGAGGCCTCAGAGTGTCGGTCCCTCAGGCTGTCCTCCTTAAACCTGTCCTGTCCACTCAAGGGAGAGCTGAAGAGTTTCAGGTGGAAACCATGTCGCTCCCGAGTGTTGTAGAAAATGCGCTCCCCTTAAGTGATGTGTTGAGATCACTGTCTTTATGACTTCCCATGGTAACGTCTTATGTTTTTGCTTTTATGACACAATACCGTCTACGTCACTTAATGATGGGGATGTGTTCTGAGAAATGCGTCGTTAGGCGACTCAGTCCTTATGGGAACGTCTTAGAGTGCACGTACACAAACCCAGGGGGTACAGCCTCCTACACAGCTGGGCCCTATGGTACTGATCCTGTGGGACCACCGTGCTACACGCGGTCCCTTGTTATCGAAACATCGCTGTCCAATGCGTGACTGTGTTTCATGACGATTGAAGTTGGTGACCTGAGAGACATCTGCTCAGGTGTAGAGTACTGGCAGTTACATCCAGGTGAGATTCAGCGTGTCGTGGCTTCCTTTGGTGGTTCTAGTAAATTATCCAATTTTGACTTTCATGTTGTAGATGTGATGTCGCAGTAGGGTACTGGTGATCCCTGGAGCAGTTGATCTGTTACTTAAATCTGTCTCATGCACTTCCTGGTGCTTCCATGACACAACGTGACGATGGAGTGAGGGCATTCGGTGTGGACTGGAGCTTGTGGCTGCAGTGTTTATTTATGATCCTCAAACTGAAGCAGTGCAGAGTATTTTCTGCATGATTTCTTCCTGCCTAAGTCCCTCTTCTTTTTGGCCCAAGTTTTTTCTTGTTTCAAATTTTTAAAAACGTGTGTGAATGGAAAAGGGTCTAAGAGGACGTAGGTGAACGCTGGAAGGCGAGACTGCTGCGGGTAGTTGCTTTGGGTTGGGGTGAGTAACAGTGCGTGGTGAGAGCCGTTTGTAGTTCACTCACCCTTGTGGCTGTTCAGACTAATCTTAAAGTACCTTGAGGGTTCCAGGTCTGTTTTAGTCTTCTCATCAGCTGATTTATTAATAATTGAGTTTTTAGGAGTAATTTTTCCTAATTTGGAAACATAAAACGTTTTCTGTTAGTTTCTTTGTATTTGCTGAATGGAGTGTTAATTCTATTAATACAGTTTTTATGTTTCTAATTTTCATGTGAAAGCAAGAACGGGGACTTGGGTTACAGTTCTCTCTGTGTGCACGTTTTGTGTTTTGTGTTTGTTTTACTTTGCCAAGGGTGGTGGTCTCACTGTGGCGTTTGTTGTTTTCGCCTAGGGCGCCGGGCAGGATAAACTCGGAATCTACGTCAAGTCTGTCGTGAAAGGAGGTGCTGCGGATGTGGTTAGTATAATTTTTAAAGATGTAAGTTTTCGCTGTCCTATCTATTGGACAAATGACAGCAAATGTTCCATGATGCATTTAGCGGTAAAGCACTCCCTACAGTTTGCTGAAGAAGCGCTTGTCAAGTGTGCTCACCACTGACTTCCCTCTTCCTCTCACCTCCCTTTGCTTCCCCCCCTCCCAACACGCACCTGCCTTTCGGGCGTGCCCAGGATGGACGGCTCGCCGCTGGTGACCAGCTGCTCAGTGTGGATGGACGAAGTCTGGTAGGACTCTCTCAAGAAAGGTATTTTTATTTATCTGTTTAAAGCTTAATATTAGCATTTTTAGGGATGTATCATGTTAAATTTTGAAATTGGAAGACAAAAAATAATGCTAAAAAGCTGGGCCCTTACTCGTCAGCTTTTTTTAAGTGTAAAACTCTGACTATACGTGACATTTCATTTGTTAGGAAATTATAAATATGCATTTTAGTCTGGAGCAGTTTTTTTGAAGCTTAAAAAGATATACTCTTAGCACTTCCTGAAACTTCTGAATATCGTCTTACTATTCTTGCTATGCTGACAGGAGATGTTGCCTGGTTAATTTTTGAAGGACAGGAATGGGCAGTGGGCGGTGGGCAGTGTGTCGGGAGGTAGAAGCTGCCCCTCAGAACAGCGGATGGGGCTGTGGAACGTGCCGCCCTCCTCCCATCACAGCTGCCGTGGGGACAGCGGGCACTGTGCTCATTCTTCTTACAGTTGTACTGCTCTCTTCCTAGGGCAGCAGAACTCATGACAAGAACAAGTTCCGTGGTGACACTGGAAGTAGCAAAGCAAGGAGCGATTTATCACGGTCTTGCTACCCTGCTCAATCAGCCGTCCCCGATGATGCAAAGAAGTAAGGACGAGCTGTGGGGCAGTGAACGCGTCTCTCTTGTAGACTGCCGCCCATGGCAGCTGGCTCACTGACCACTTAGCATCTGCCAGGCACTTTACAGTCGTGAGCTCTTTTAATATTCCCAGAAGCCCTCGGAGTAGGTCCTGTTTATCTTTATTATCCCAATTTTAAACATAAGGTGCTGTTTCCTTAAGTAGATGCCTAGGATAACTAGGTTCCCCTCTCCGTGCCGACAGCTGGGGAGCCTCCGGCTGCCCGGCACCTTGAGGCGTTCAGGCCAGAGTAAGCAGATGAATGAACCTTCAGCTTTGACAGGCAGATGCAGGACGTAGAGTCTTGAGAGAACAAGTAGAATTCTCTACTGAGTAGGAATATTTGTACGTGTGTGTGAATAGTTATTTCAGTCCTGTGTGTGCTGAGATTGGACGTGATTCTCTTTTTATATATAGTTTGCTTTAAATAAAAAGCTCAATTATTTGAATAGAGTAATCTGTTGGTGGGAACTGTGGTTTTGTAACTACATCAAAAATCTCAGAAAAAAATAGAGTATAAATTTCGGGCTTTAAAAAATTGGTTCAGAAACCATAGGGAAAAACCATCATGACTCACATTATCTTTTCAGTCGTGATATACTTTACGGTTACTTTCCTGGCTGTGTGCTCCAGGCCTGGCCCTGGCGGAGCTCACTTCTCTGCAGGTTGGTGTTGTGGGAACGTCAAAGCCAGAGCCTGCGGTCCAGACCTGATAGGAACAAACCCAACATAGGCATCCGAGGGCCTGGGCCTGCTGCTCACTGAGACAAGCAAACAAAAGGAGCGTCTTAAAACCACGGGTCGTATTATAGGCCTCGGCGCAGCATACTTCTTACTTTTTTTCATAATGTAATATTTAACGTATTGGTTTTCTAATTTATTAGTTTGCAGTTATTTAAAAGAAGCAAACCAGATGATGAGTTAGAAATCAAAGAAGGAAAGTGTTAAAAGTAGATAATAAATCGGGGTCATCAAGTGAGAAGATAAGAAACTAACAAAGAATGAATAATCACATCAGATGATGGCTGTTCACGACGGTGACAGCTCTGAGTGATCCAAAGAGTGCATACATGTTTAAAAAGTGAGGGAAGTGTATTTATCTTTGAGTTTTAAAATGTTACTTTAAAAGTAGTTTTGTTATTTAAAACAGCTCAGTTTATGAGAAAATAAGCTTTGAAAGAATACCTTTTTCCCATCAGTGCCAGTTAAATCTTGCTTTATTTGAAAACTTTTTAAAGATTCTTTAGAAAGATTTTACCTTTACATAAAAATCGCCTTATTTCTGGGGCTGGCCCTGTGGCCGAGTGGTTAAGTTCCCGCGCTCCGCTGCAGGCGGCCCAGTGTTTCGTTGATTCGAATCCTCGGTGTGGACATGGCACTGCTCATCAAACCTCGCTGAGGCAGCATCCCACATACCACAACTAGAAGGACCCACAACGAAGAATATACAACTATGTACTGGGGGGCTTTGGGGAGAAAAAGGAAAAAATAAAATCTTTAAAAAAAAAATCACCTTATTTCTTCTGCTAAAAGCAAGTTCTTATGTATGGAACCTTAAATATTTTTAGTTTGATCTTTCTTTTAAAACTAAACAGGGTGTTTAGAATAAACTCTTGAACAAATGAAGGTCTTGAACCTCCTTCGGTTTCAGTTTCAGATCGCCGTGGCTCAGGTAAACCCCGACCAAAGAGCGAAGGTTTTGAGCTCTACAATAATTCAGCTCAGAATGGGTCACCGGAGAGCCCGCAGCTGCCGTGGGCAGAATACAGTGAACCAAAGAAACTGCCCGGCGACGACAGGCTGATGAAGAATCGAGCTGACCACCGCTCCAGCCCCAACGTAGCAAGTAAGAGGCGCCTTGGGGCCCTCCTTCTCTTGTCCTGAGTTCTCATCCAAGTGCCTGTGTTGTCGCCGTCCCAGTGAGGAGGGCCACTCTGGTTTGTTACTTACTAGAGTGAAACATTACGTGCATATGTTGGCTCACTGGGTTGTGTTTTCCGTGAGAGATGTCCAAACTAATATTCTCTAACAGGAAATAGAAACTAAGTGAGCAAACCTTTGATTCAACGGATGTCGCAGGCAGGCAGATCAATCACATCTCCAGCAGGGGTTGGCACACTACCAGCAGGAGCCCAGATGGGTTTTGTGCTTTTAAAGGGTTGTTAAGAAGCAGCAGCAGATACAAGCTTTTGCAAAGCCTAGAATATTTACCCTCTGGCCCTTGCCAGAAATGTTTGCCAGTCCCTGGTCTGTGGATAAAACTTGGTAGCTCTGGGCTCTGTGCGCCTGGGAGAAAGGAGTGGGCCTGATCGGCCCTCGCCTGCCACGGCCTCGCCTCTCTGTGTGCCGGCCGCCCCACCGCAGTGTGAAGATGCACGGCGGGCGGCCGGCGCCCTTGCACAGCTCCTGTGTGACATCGCGTTTGTTTATTTAGTAGTAAACTCTCTTCTCCCTGCCTCTTTCCAGATCAGCCTCCTAGTCCTGGAGGGAAAAGTACGTACGCCCCTGGAACGACGGCCAAGATCACGTCTGTCTCTACTGGAAACCTCTGCACTGAGGTCTGAGAGATGAGCACAACCACCCTTACTATGCTGTTAGCTTTCCCTGGGAGTACCTGCGTTATCTCCTGAAATTTTCACTCCACAAGTTACCATGGTTTATAATTCCTAAGTAGTGAATTTTTTATTTTTAATATAATAGGTAAATCAGCTTTAAATTAATAAATGTTTTTCATTATTCTCAGTATAAGATCAAACTCTTACTTTCTAACACAGTTTTTGAAATATATATAGTATATTTATAGTATATTTTAAAACAGTTTGCTGGAAATTAAATTAATCCATTGTACAAGTTGCAAAAAGCTCACTTTCTTTCTTCTTCACGTTGTACAGGAGCAGACCCCTCCCCCCAGACCTGAAGCCTACCCCATCCCCACTCAGACCTACACCAGAGAGTATTTCACCTTCCCAGCCTCGAAGTCCCAGGACCGGATGGCTCCTCCTCAAAACCAGTGGCCGAGTTACGAGGAAAAGCCACACTTGCACACAGACAGCAGTCATTCCAGTTCCGCAATTCAGGTTAGAGAGAAGGGCGTCCATAAATATTTCTCAGCCCTCACAGATAGACCCGTTAGACAGGGTGAGAATTGAGCGGTTTCTGAGACACAGTTGATGTTTTCTGTAGCACAGCACTGCTCTGGTCATCTTTTTTTTTCTTCCTTCTTTCTTGGTTTTGTGGTTAACTGAGAAAAAGAGGGGATAGGATAGAAACTGAATATGAAAAGGGACTTCTGTTCTCTTAGCTTCTCATTAATGAAATGTTAGTAACATGAAGCCGCAGTCAAATTTGTCAGGCAGGTCCCTGGTTCCGGGCGTGAGAAATGGGAGCCCAGATGATACGTGTTGCACTTTGTTCATGTCAGAAGGTGTCCCAGCCGCTGGGAGTGCAGAGGGGATCGTGGTCCCTGCCCACGAAGCTTGGTGGTCTAGTTGAGAGCTGAGGCAGGTGAATGGAAAACAGGGTAGTAAGTGCTGCTGGGGAGCTGGATCCCCGCCGAGTGACGGAGCCGTCTCTCAGTCTAGGTGTGACTAGAACCGGGACTCCTGCATCCCGTTACAGCTCCAGAAGAGGAGAGCTTTCCAGAGCAACGGAGGTGGCGTGGAGACGTGTAGTGGGGCTCGAGCCGCAGGTGTTCAGTGTGGCAGGAACACAGGTCGGGGCAGGGGCGGTGGGGCTCCAGGCTGCACAGGCAGGTCGGAGCCACACCGAAGGCTTTGCGTGACCAGCTAAGGAATTCGGGTTTCATCCGAGCTAGTGGAGAAGGGATGTCAGCCTGAGCAGTTAAGCTGGGGAACATTATCAGATGTGTTTTTCTTTTTAGAAAGATAACTTCGCATTGTGAAAGATTGGGAGAAGGAATTAAATGTATGCTTAAAAATAGGTGCAGTCAGGGCCGGCCCCGTGGCCGAGTGGCTAAGTTCGCACGCTCTGCTTCCGCGGCCCAGGGTTTCGCCGCTTCAAATCCTGGACGTGGACGTGGCACCGCTCATCAAGCCATGCTGAGGCAGCATCCCACTTGCCACAACTAGAAGGACCCACAAATAAAAACACAGCTGTGTACCATGGGGCTTTGGGGAGAAAAATAAAAAATAAAATCTTTAAAAAAAAAAAAAATAGATGCAGTCTAGGAGACGTAACAGATCCGCATCCTGGATAGTGAATTCCGGGAGGGACTCACCCTTGGATTAGAGCGGCCGGCAGATGCTGCAGAGTTGAGACCCGATTCGAGCTGAGCCTAGGGGATGAGGAAGCCAAGGGAGAGGGCACTGCGTTCCCAGGAGACAGCGTGAGTAAGGCGAGAAAGAGCCCCGTGTTCTACGGGCAGAAGGTGATTGTCAGGTCCCACACCTTGGTTGTTCACAAGACTTCGCCTTGTCCTGGGCCCCTCCTGCTGTTTCCTAGATAGGTCCGATTACCTCCAGCCCCCAGTCTTTGCGGGAGTGTGAGATGCCCTCCCCCAACCCCGCCGGCTCTGGGAGCAGGCTGGAGTTGTCTAGAGAAGAGGCCTTTCTCCAAATGCTCTTTGATAATAAAGTCATTTTATGCCCTGCTTCTGCTGCCGTGTTGTGTTAGCCCTTAGGAAGATCTGCCTCCCATACGGCAAGGCAGTCCACGGGCTTTGTTTCAGGGGCGCGGCATCACTGAGCCTCGGCAGTTAGAGTAGATAACTACTGACTGCTTCCCCTCGCAGCCTGGGTAAATGATACCTAGAGAAGAAGTCAGGAAACGAGCTGAAGGGCCGCTCGTGAGGATGCTGAAATGACTGAGAGTCATGACCGCACTTCCCCGGGGAGGGAGGAGAGCGCATGAGAGCCCAGGAGCGAAAACGCAGCTCCAGGGAAGCAGAGGAGCATCGAGCCCCTGGGTCCCGAGCCCCTGGTCCCGCAGCGGAGAGCAGTCTGCAGGCCCGGGCCTGGAGTCCATGCTTGAACGTGTCGGTCTACAGGAGCAGGGAGTTAGTAATTCTTTTATGGGGCCCGAAGATCGTATGCCCAGTGATCAAGAAACTGTTTCTGTGTACATGGTAAAGCCATTGCAAAATGTTGGAAGTCAGTGTTCTGTTTTCCTGTCAGGCTACTGTTTTTTCAAGTGGTATTTCATTTTTTTGGTGTGTGTTTGTTTTTTAAGGAAAGGGTAACAGTTTATTTTCCAGATTTGCATCATCAATTTCTACTGATTAACAGGGCAGGAAAAAAATGTGTGACTCAGACATCATAGTTAGTCATTTCTGTCTGATTAAACCACTTTCACACATGCCCTTTGAAAAGAAGTATATTCATTTCTCTCTCTGTCTCACACACACATACACACACAGAAGTCTGTGTCCTGCACCTTTATACCGCCGTGTTTTACACCTTTCTAAGACTGAGGCAGAGAAAGCTCGGACGCGTGTGGCTTGCCCTTGCATTATTATACACAGCTCTATGAAAGCGTTCATAAAGCCAGTCGTCAGCTGGTAGAATTCATGGATGGGTCATGGGTTGGTCAAATGGTTAAGATTTGGTAATTACTCTTAGTAATGATTAGGATTTTACTACAGAGAAGTAATTTTTGTTGCTCTTCACCTAATTAGACTGAATACATTTATCCTTTTTTTTTTTTTTTTTTTTTTTTGTGGAAGATTAGCTCTGAGCTAACTACTGCCAGTCCTCCTCTTTTTGCTGAGGAAGCCTGGCCCTGAGCTATCATCCATGCCCATCTTCCCCTACTTTATATGTGGGACACCTACCACAGCATGGTGTGCCAAGTGGTGCCTTGTCCACACCCGGGATTTGAAGCGGCGAATGCCGGGCCGCTGAAGCAGAACCTGCGAACTTAACCGCCGCGCCACCAGGCTGGCCCCATACATTCATCCTTTTAAAGTCAGTCATGTGAATAGTACCACAGTAGAGATGCGTGCAGGGGACTACAGAAGAATGAGGAATGGCACAGTTGATGAAGTACCTGAGTTTTTGTGCGTTTTGCTTTTTTGCCAGTGATGCAGAGAAGAAAGGACAGCTTTTCTTTCTTTTAAACAGATAAGGAATTCGCTGGAAAACAGTTCCTCCACGGCCAGTGAGCCATAGCGCGATCTCAGCCTCGATTCTGAACACTCATTTAACAGTTCTAATGTTTTTTCTTTCTCCCTGAAGAGAAAATGTGTGTCTTCTGATAAGTGGCTGAAATATAACAGCTTTGCCTTTTCCTTTTCCAGCGTGTTACCCGTTCCCAGGAGGAACTCCGGGAAGAGAAAGCTTATCAGCTGGAGCGGCATCGAATAGAGGCGGTTATGGATCACAAGTCTGATAGTGATATGTGGATAAATCAGAGTTCCTCACTGGGCTCCAGTGCATCCAGCCAAGAGCACCTGGACCACTCCTCCAAGGCAGGCACCCCTGCTTCCACTCTGACCAAAAGTGGCCCTGGGCGCTGGAAGACGCCAGCGGCTGTGCCGCCCATGCCCGTGGCTGTCTCCCAGCCTATTCGAACAGACCTGCCCCCACCACCCCCTCCGCCTCCCGCCCACTATGCCAGTGAGTTGGACGGAATCCCCATGGATTTGCCTCTCCCACCCCCTCCTTCTGCCAGCCACTTAGGACCTCAGTCTGCCCAGGTGGCTGCTGCAGAGCGGAAGAAGAGAGAAGAGCATCAGCGGTGGTATGAGAAGGAAAAGGCCCGTCTAGAGGAGGAGCGGGAGAGAAAGCGAAGGGAGCAGGAGAGAAAGCTGGGCCAGATGCGCACCCAGGCTCTGAACCCCGCTCAGTTTCCTCCTGCGGCTGTCCAGCAGATGAAGCCGGAAAAGCCCTCCACGCTCCAGAGGCCCCAGGAGACCGTCATTCGGGAGCTGCAGCCCCAGCAGCAGCCCCGCACGATTGAGCGCAGAGACTTGCAGTACATCACCGTCAGCAGAGAGGAGCTCTCCTCGGGGGACAGTCTCTCTCCAGACCCGTGGAAGCGGGACGCCAAGGAGAAGCTTGAGAAGCAGCAGCAGATGCACATTGTGGATATGCTGAGCAAGGAGATCCAGGAACTCCAGGGCAAGCCCGACCGCACTGCGGAGGAGAACGACCGCCTGCGGAAGCTCATGCTGGAGTGGCAGTTCCAGAAGAGGCTCCAGGAGTCGAAGCAGAAGGACGAGGACGATGAGGAAGAGGAAGACGACGATGTGGATACCATGCTGATCATGCAGCGCCTTGAGGCCGAGCGAAGAGCAAGGGTAAAGGGGGGCGTGCTTGGGCCGCGCCCCTGTGGTCCCTGCCTCCACCGGCGGCATGTGGGGCGGGGGCCGAGCCCAGGGTCTCGAGGGTTGAAAAGGTCCCTAGGCTTCCCATGTTCTGTGATGTGTACACTGTTAGCTGATGTCCTACAGATGTGAGCCAGGGGGAGGAGGCCGAACATTCTCGAGCCGTGCACTTTAAAAATATTAAATACAATTCAGATAGACCTTTACTGTTGTAATTAGCAAACTCATATTTATCCTGCTCATTAACCCTTCCATTGAGAAAACAAGTTAATAACCCATACTTTGCTAATAACCAGTAATAATCTTGATCAGGGATTGGCAAAATTTTTTCTTAAACAGCCGGATAGTCAATATCTTAGGCTTTGCGGGCCCTGCAGACTCCATCTTTACCGCTGGCTCTGCTGTTGAAGCGCAAGGGCCAGTGTCGGCAGGACGCGAACAGAGGGTGCACTGGGGCCAGCACAGTGTCGTTTACAGATGGTGGCAGGTCATTTGCTGACCCCTGGTCTTGATCATCAGCACCTGATGGTGGGTAACAAAGGAGACTGTTCAGGACTTCAGAGTTAAGATTTTAATATCATTACCGGAGATAGAACCTTCAAAGGAGTTAGAAGGTTGACGAAGCAGGTGTTTATTAAATTGATAAACAGTTACATTTCAGTGGTAGTATAAAGATACTGAGAACTTAGAATTTTATTCATATATCCCCATATTACAAAAAAATTTCCGTTCTTTTTGTTTTGAATAAAAGAAGTAAAACGTCTATTAGTTTAGTACAATAGATGGTTAGAATGCCAAATTTAAGTCTTTGTTACCCTGTCACGAGAATTGTTGACAGAGGCGTTTATTAGTATTAATTTGCAGAGAGTGCTAGTGACCATTTCATGTTACTGTTTTAGTGATTTTTTTTTTTTATACAATGCAGTATTCTGAGAACAGACAGCCAAGAGCACACCCTTTTGTCTTTAGGATTTTCTTTCTAATTCTAGCTTTTCCCTGACACTGTCTGTACTGGAGATCTAAACCCAAATTGTGCCGTCAGACATTTTCGTCTTCCTGCCTCGTGATGAAATTTAATCTTGGGTGACCATTAGTAAGGACGTAGAGCCACGGTGTGACCCCTCTTCTGTTTGTTCTGTGAAGCATTTTCCTGAAAAGTCACACACACACACACACACACACACTTCTTATCATATACATATTCTCAGCCAAATGTATGTATAACTTTGCCCAAAATTCAATCAGAATCCCTCTTAAGACACTTAAGTTTCTGAAAAGAAGGCCTAAATGTTAGCTATTACATTACTTTATCAGTATTCTCCAAGTCACCAGGAGTAAAATTCCTTAAGAACGGCTGTATTTACCATCAGAACTATTTTATTTGAAAGAACAACTATCTGATGAATAACTAATTGCCCTGAAATAAGAATTCTTTGAAAGATTTCCACCTTGTAGTCAGCAGTCTGGCCCCCATTACATAAACCGTTAGCTTGTCATTGCAGTGTGCGTTTCCCTCTGCTCTGGCCGCTGTCGTCGTGGCCACATGGCAGGTGGGTGCGTGAAAGCAACTGAGTCTGTTCATGGCCTTGTATCATGCCCCAGACATGAGAAAGAACGGCTTCAGCTCTCCTGCGGCTCAGACTCTGCAGGTGAAGCGGATGTTTCTGGTGAAGAAGGAGACGTTACCAATTTTTATTGTTGTAACAGTTTCCTGACAATAGTGAAAAGTTAGCAACTGCGTTGATATTTCTATAATTATTCTTTTCTGTGAAGACTAAATTTTTACTGAAGTTCTATCAGTTTTTCCTAATGGTTAAAACATTGAATATTTCAAAGCCTCTTAGTATGAATTATAATATTTGGAAAGTTTCTTATGAAAATTTACTTTAAAGTGTCTGTATTTATCATTAATTATGTTAATATCTTGGTCTCCAAATAAGAGAGCTAAGGGAAATTTTATTTTTTTTAGTTTCTATGTATCTTAATGAAACTCAAACATTTAATACCATGTGGCCCTTTTTCTCTTTCTGAACCCTAGAGATTAGTCTGTATGTAGTTTTTGCTTTTCTCCTGGGGTGGTCCTTCGGAAACAGACGAAGCGTGAGAGCGCAGATGTGCTGGTGGCGGATTACAGGTCTACACTGAGCCTTTTCTTCACACCTGGTCTTTCTTTTTTTCCCTCTTACCTGCAGCAGACTGCTCTGCCAGCAATCTCTGTTCTAGATTTGGTACGTCCTCGTTTCTTTCCCTTTGGTGCTGTTTTCCTGTCTTGATTTCCCTTTTTCTTTCAGTGGTGGTGGCTTTATGTTTTCAGTAGAGCAGTCCTTAGGGCTGTCCTGCAGCAGGACAGCAGTCCCGCCTCTAGAAGCATGCCTCTGAATGTTCGTAGACTTAGCCACTCTCTGCTTTCCTCCCTTAACTGTAAGTGTTACTGTCTGTTTACGGTTTTGACCTTTCACTCAATTTTAGTCATAAAATTGATTCTGTTTATTCTTATGTAGTTGTAAACACATGCACACATGAAGGAAACTTGGCAGAGTAATCAGTTTCATTCTTGTTACATGAGAGAGAGATTTTAAATATTCAGCTCTTAGAAACTCAGTTGAATTGGTGTTGCCACTGTTTGCCAGATGGCACTGTCTCGGACAGCTGTCTGTGATAGAGTAGGAGAGGTTGCCCACAGACACGTGTTCTGTGCCTGCTTTAATGACATCCATGGACTTTGGTTCACTTTATCAGCCAGAACAGTTTACTGTCTGCGAAAAATACTTGAGGCCACGTTCTGTTGTCCATGCAACGTGTTTAAGGAAGGTGTTGGGGAAATTCAGTCGGTCACTTAGTGCCCACTGAGCGTAAGTACTGTTATCTGTGTCATCTGCCTGTTATATTTTGACTGATATAATTATGTTAACTAAGTCAGCATTTACTGTTAGTCATTTTTTAAATGATAGAAGGCCAATATCAGGCAGTACTTTAAAAAAAATCCCTGAAACGAGGTGTGACTTTAATGGCCTTCTCACCAAATAATAGCCCTCCTTTTTTTTTTTAAATTTAAGTAGTGTGGTGGCACCGTCATTCCAAAGAGAAGGCTCTCTTGAAAACATCTCCCCTCCTTAATGAATGAAAGGCATGTTTTCTGAGCTTTACATTTTTTTTTCATGAGACAAAGATAAAAACCATCTTTTGCTCCCTACTTCTTTGTGTATTAAGGTGTCCATGTAGGAGATGGTTGGAAAATATCAATCAGTTAAAGTCGTTTCTTTGTGTAAAATCTTCATTTAACAAATATTTGTTCAGCGTCCATGATGTGCCAGGTCTGACCTGAGGCGTTGGCTGTGAGAGATGAGGCCCAAGGAGGACCTTTTGTGCCGTGAAGATTACAGGACAGGTGGATCGTGATATTTAAGGCTAAGGGTTACACTGAGGTTTTCATTTCAAAGAAAAATAGTTCAGGATTTTTCTTTCTTTAAAAGATCATTATTTTGAGTGTTAATACTGCCCCTTTCTAAACAAGAAACCCCCTTGTTTCTGCGCATTTCTCAGCCTAATTCCCAGTAATGGTGAATATTATTAACGATGTTATCTGTAGAGTTCTCATGACATCACCGTGCCAGGCCGTCTTGGGAGAACCTCCCCTGTTAGGGTTAGTCCTCTGCTAAGATAACAGGGAGAAGGTGACCGGGTGGCCTGTGTGTGGGAACTCGGCCCGTGGGGGTCTCAGGCGTTTCCTTAGGCTCCTCGCGGGGTTTTATGATGACAGACAGGATGAACGAGGCAGGCCTCTTCCTGTTGGGGAGCAGTCGAGTTCAGAGACGTTGGCGGGTCCTGCCTGCCTTCTGCTCTTCCCCGGGTCTGGGAGTGGCCCCTCGCCCCAGATGGTCCAGGGCCCGCTGCTGCTTCTCTCTGGGCTCGCGCCCTTTGTGCCCGCCGCCTCCTGACCCGTGACCTGGCTGAGCCGGGCGCCCCCTTCACATCTCTGGTCAGAGCCCTCTCGGATGGAAGGCTCCTCGCTGCGTCACTGACGGAGCACCCCCACTCAGAGTCAGACGGCCGTTCAGATTCCAGCACGTTCACGACTGCTCCACCCCTCCCTGCCCTGCGCCGTGCTGCCACCTCCCCTGCCGTCCGCCTCCCCACTCTAGCTGCTCCTTCTCGTTGCTCAGTCTAGGAGCCTGACAGTCGCCGTGACCCCTTTGTTCTCTCCAGTGAGAAGTTCTGCGGTCTGACCTGGCTGAGCCACCGTCCTTTCCTGCCTGCATTGCAGGAGACAACTTCCTGCTGAGTCCCTTGCTTTGCCTTTGTTCCCCTGATAGGCTGCTGCAACACAGCAGTGGCGGTGATCTCTTAGAAGCATGTCAGGTCTCATGAGTGCTCAGAGCCTACAGTGCTGCCCTGTTACTTAGAGAAACACTCTGGTCTCCCCATGGCTACAGGATGCCCTTGTTCTGTCCTCGCCTCCCCCTGCCTGGGCCCCATCCCCTCCTGCACTCCTGTATGGGGTGGGGTGGATGTTGCCCGTGCTGTCGCTTGCCCTGGCTGAAGTCCAAGGGCAGCAGGTCCCTCCACCTGATGCTTGGGTGTGTGACTCATGCCACGTAATGATGTGCATTCCTCCTTGTTTCACTGTGATGTGGGTGCCACAGAGGGCAAGCCCAGCGTTTGAGAGACTCCCCCAGTATCAGAGAGTGGGAGTCGAGATTCTAACCAGAATTTTCTGAGTTGGCATTCAGTGCTTTTCTGCTGTACCAAAGTGTCTCCTGCTCATAAAAATAACACTCTGTTGCTAGGAACCATCTTTCAACTAGAGATTTAGGTGACCTGCCAGGGTCTCAGTTGGCTCGTCTCAGCTTTCTCTTGTTACCATTTTAGTGGCTCATGTGCTGACTCAGATGACCTGACAGCCCACAGGACGAATTCCTTGGGGTATTATTTTGGGGTAATACCAGTGAAGTGATGTTTTCGGGATTTCAGTGGCTCTTCTGTTTTTCTCCTGTGGAGACCCAAGCTGGATCTTCCCTCCTAGGCCGCTTTCCCGTCTGGTCGTTCTGCAGGACTGTGGGAATGGGGCGTACCCCTCTGGAGCGTCCGGGCACAGAAGGGTTGAATTAAAAGTTTCATGAAAACCTCAAGCAGGAATTCTTGGGACCCTCACTGAGAGTCGCACCTTCAGAGAGGCCTGGCTCCAGCAGACTGTTTTTTGCCTGTTCGGGTTGAGTTGCCTCAGGAGTGGGAGATGGCCCTGCCCAGGATGTCAAGGCCAGAGGTGGACACAGCCCATCTTCAGGAGGGGTCAGTGTTACTCGAGGAGTTAGGAGGAAAAATATGTTCACAGTCAAAACAACATGTCTATATCTTGGAGCAGAACACAGGATTCACGTGATGGTAGGAGATGAAGCAGGACCCAGGGGGTGTGGTGGGCGCTCTGAGCCCACCGTGTGCTCGGGGTCACTCTGACTTGTCTCCGCCTCCTCTGTCTACCAGAGCATGTCAACAGCTACGCCAGAGATCTCCACCTTCCGATAAAATTGTCGTTTTCCTTAAACTGAAAAAAAAAAATGTAAGGGCCCTGCCAGGGGAAGGGAGCCCTCACTCCTGAGTGCTGAGTGCTGCCGTGGAGGGTTTGGCGCACCCCTGTTCACAAGGGAGAACCTGGTCCCCCGGCAGGTCCTCAGAGTGCACTTCTCTTGGAAATGGGGCCAAGAAGCCGCAGAGCTGGGCCCTACCCGGGTCTTGGGTTCCGGAGGCCAGCAGTGATAAGTGGCCTCATCGGGGCTTCGTTGTCAGGCCTTAAAATTTTCTGAGGGTGTGTTTTCAGTAGGTAGCATGAGCCCCAAAGGCTGCAGAGAGAAGCGTTTCTTATGAGTAATGTGCTCAACAGACTTTCAGTTGTATCTTCAGAGAAAGTGTCCAAAAGGAAAGGATACCTTGGCCCTATTTTGTATTTGGATATTTCAACATGATTGTCTCCCTTAATGGGATTTCTACTATAAATTAAAGATATAAGTTAATGCATTTTGTTGTATAAAATTATAACCACACAGATCTCAATATACTTTTTTTTTTTTTACCTGAAAATACCTCTTTTTAGAAATGTGGACTTACCAGTAAAGCCAAACCTTGGTTTAAGCTTACAAACTGGCTTTTTGAGATCTCAGCATAGTTCTTGGTTTAGAATAACTTCAGTCTGGACTGTCTTGATTCATCCTGTGAGAATTATCGTTCCCTCTGTGAGATCTGTTCCCCAAACAGAACTTGGTACGAGCCTGCTTTGATCGCATCTGACTTCTCATTCTTTTAATGTAAAACAGTGAGCTCATCTCCTTTTCATTTAACTTCAGGGTGTTAATGTAACAGACAGTTTGTCATTGGATATCAGTCATTAATTTGTAACTTAGGTTGAAATGCCTTTAATCATTATTGGATGAAAGTAAACCATACAGCTCAGTGTACCATCTTGAGCTATTATTTGGGGTAAATTAAGAGAGTCTCTTTTCTCTCATTAATGCTTTTTTGGGGGGTAGGGGGTGTAAAACAGCATATCTTTGAAGAACAAAACAATCTCTGTTTTGAAAATGAAAATCCATGAATCAACTTACCAAATAGTGGAGAGAAACGGCCTGAATTATGATGGCTCTCCTTCATTTGCCCTATTTTAAAAATAGCAACCGGTGAACTGAGCACAAAGAGAGGCTCCTTGCTTACCACCATCCAGATTTAGAAGAATGAGTGTTTTTAAGAGAAAATGCCTGTTTATAGATTTATAAGATAGCATTCTGTATCTGTAATTATAATTTATGGAAATTGTAATTGTTCTGGTTTCTTAAAATTATACTCCTGTTTAATTTAAAAGAACTAATTGGCTATTTATTGTACTCTTTTTCTTTCTTATAACTTATTTTTCTTTAGTTCTAGACAGTATAACATAATGAAATTAGTTTGTGCTTGCTTTACTGGGTGACAGAAAAACTTTGATTGCATTAATGCAGTTTTCTATATTTGCATAAATTACTTTCCTGTGGGCTATTGACCCCTCTCAGTTGCTGTTTTATTTTGTTATTTGTATTTGGGTGCTGTTTCTCCTGCTCGGTTTTCCGCCCTCGGCTGTCTGCCTCCTGCAGAGCCCTCAGGCGGGCGCTGACTCTGCAGAGCCCTGGGAGGCACCTCTGACTGTGCTTTGCCTTTCGGGTCTTTCTCAGTAGCATCTGCTGCTTTTACAAAGCCCCCTACAAGCCAATTATCCTAACATCCCTTCTGGGCTTAGACCTAGATTGTCCTAAAGAGGAAGTTAAATTAATTTGTCGTCTTGAGAAGGGAATTTTAATTTTTTTCTAAGATGTTTTATTGTTCACTGACATGAAAACACCTAATGATACGAATTAGTTACTTTCCCACCAGATACAGAAGTCAAGCATGAGTGAAGTTGTTAGGTTTTTGTTTAAACAAATACAAACACAGTTCAAATCCAGAAGTTCATATTTTCTGTTTTTGCTGTGAACAGTTTCTAGAATAACTAGTCACTGCAGGGAGTGAGACGCCTGGAGAGACTTTACGTAAGGGCTCCTGCGCTGGTGAGAGATTGAACTGGAGGGCTTCCAGCTCCATTTTAATTTTTAAAAGTTTTAATCAGCTCCTCTTGCTGAGGGACGGTGCAGGGCTGCAGGTGTGGCTGCAGCCAGGTGTCTAACAGATAAGAAATAACCGGAGAGTGCACACTTTCAAATTTACCATTGCCCTAGGCTGTAACAACAGAAGTTTAGTAGCTGTATTATATCAAGATGACAAAAAGAGAGACTTGTATTCTGTTCTCTGCTGGTCAAATGTGCTTTTAATTCAGGATTCCTGTTTAGAAAAGGTATTTGCAACCTGTAGCGATAGAGAAATGTGACCGGGGGATAAAGGAGCTGAAAACCCAAGAGGAGGTGCATCTTCGATTTTTGAAGTGATCTTTAAGTATTTGAATGGTATGAAAGAAAGATTATAAATTTGTTTTGTGTTTCAAAAAGCAAGAGCCTGAATGATGAAAAATAGAAAGCAATCAGGTGATGCATTGTAGACCAACAAGAACTTTTTGACTGGCGGTTCCCTGAAAATAGCACATGCTGTCTTGGGAGGTAGGCAGCAGGGCTCCAGAAGCTGGAAGTGTTCAGACAGGACGGACAGTTGGGTAGAGATGTAGCGAAAGAGTGAGTAAGAGTAAGATTCCTTCCAGATTTCAGGCTTAGATTCTGTGACTCGGAGTTCGGGGGTGTCCCTGAGCTGGGAAGGAATTCTTGAAGTCCAGGATGATCCGGAGGGAGCTAACTGATGGCAAAGGGCCAGGGTGGGAAGAGTGCTAGACACTTGGTCCCCAGGAAGAGGGGGCTACTGTACATGCCCTGTGAGCAGCCCCATGTTCCCCGAGTCCTGTGCTGCCACGTGAGCTCCCCCCACCCCTGAGAGGCTAGTGTTCATCTGCTGTGGTCCAGAGCAGGGGAGGCTGTTTCTTGACATTCATAGTGGAAACAAACTGACGAGGGCAAGGGGAGGAGGATGGTCGAGTGTGCTCTGCAGTGTCATCAGCTGGGAGTCTGCCTGTTGTTCGAGTCTGTTAATTTACATGAGCTGGTTAACTTAAATTTAGTATCATAAAAGAATCATGCTTGTTTGATGCGTGAATGTCCAAGGTAAATTCCTTCTTGCTTCGAGCCACAATTAATGGAAGAATAATTCTGGATCTGTGGGGACAGAGTTTTTAGGTGATTTATTTCGAAACTGCAGAGCTGTAAGATGTGTACGTCGTAACGTCTTTCGGCCGTGCTTTAACCTGGTATTGTGTGTGTGTCTGCTTGTCTCAGTACGCGCTTCGTATGTCTTGTGCTGGTGGAGTTTGTTGAATGGAAATTAACATTAATTTGCTGTTAGTTACAGGATGAGGAGCGGAGACGGCAGCAGCAGCTAGAAGAGATGCGTAAACGGGAAGCAGAAGACCGAGCCAGACAGGAGGAAGAGCGGCGCCAGCAGGAGGAGGAGCGAGTCAGACGGGATGCCGAGGAAAAGGTTATGGCTCTCTGAGGGCAGCTAGCATTGCACCACGTTAGCCTGAGCGTAACCGATGGGCTGGGCAAAGCAGGCGAGAGATTCTGTGTCCCTTAAAATGCACAGGACGAAACAGGGCCTCGGTCCCCCAGCTTGGTTATTGGACCAAAAACTTTAGCCCGATCTTGCCCACCTACCTCTCTTGAACTGTCTCCAGATTCCCTTTTCCTCTGAGTTTTTTCTGTCAAACTTGCGAACTCTTCAGCCTGTTTAGTCGTGAGCTTCTTTGCCACAGGTCGGCTCAGTCTGGGCCCTGACCTTCCTGGACGTGGTCCAGCCCATTAGTGTGCAGATGTGTTTGCTCACTTGTGTTCAGATTGGATTTGAGCCGTGGGAAGCAGCAGGAACGTAGAACACAGTCTGTTAACAGTGAGCATTTCAAATAGATTGCTTGCTGAAGTTACCCAACTCTCCTTGATGGTAAAGAGAGCAGAAGGCTTATAAAAAACATGGTACAAGGAAAACTTAACTTAGTATGTAATCTGATAAATATTCTGAGTTATTACTTTGTTTCCATATGTGGGCTTTTTAATTCAAGTAATCCTTTCAGTTGAAGTGACAACTCATTTGACCTATTCTGGAAAACGGGAACTCGGCAATGCCGTCCTCCGGACCCTCTCCGTGTGCGCGCAGCCGAGCCTCCCGAGGGCATCGCCTGTGCCTGGACGTGGTCTGGGAGAAGCCGCTCTTCTGTTACTTCCCTTCTGTGAAGGCGGAAGCTTGGAGCACCACCACTTCTGATAGGGGAAGCTTTAGTTTTTATTCCTAATTCCTTCTTTGATAGTCCAGTGAACTGTATTAACAGAGCGCCCTCCCCGCCCCCGGGAAAGAACTTTGGGGGAGCTTTTTATAGTGACGCGATCTGTTAGGGTGCGTTACAAGCAGAGTGAGGTTGACAGAAACGATGAGACTCGCTGACGTGGACATAGAACACATAGTGTGCGCACACAGTGTGTTGAAATCAGCACTTTCCCCTGTGTAGACGTTACCGTGCCCAGAGCCTGTCGCCACATTGTCTGCGTGTCTGCACGGCTGGGAGTCTCTTGGAGACCCTGTGCCCAGGGCTAGGCTCCCCTCGAGGCTTTGGCTAGGGTAGCGGTACGTCAGTCGGTGCTTTTCTGAGGAAATCAGGTTTCCAGAAGTGGAGCCAGTAGAGCTCGGGTTTCACGGTCTGTTCTGTGGCTGTTGGGAAGGATGTGCTCCCGGGCCCCACGTCCCCCGCTGTCCCAGGCTCTGTCCGGAGCGCTCTGCCTTCCGTGGAGGCCTGCAGGCCTGCTGTCTGCAGGCTGGTTAGGTGCGGCCGCGCCCCGTGCCGTAGCTGGGCAGGCGGCCACCCCAAGCGCAGCGCACGCTGGACGGGGCCAGGCTGCCTTCGCCGTGCCGAGAGGCTCATGGGTGGCTCGGTTTTTCCGATGTGCGTTCCCACAGCTCACGATCATGTCAGACTCACCTGTGTCTCAGTAACTGCTTCTATAATTGAGTGGTCAATGTAAAAAGAAGCTGAATAACCTATTTTTTATACAGAATACCCAAAATTGATGGGTTTGCTTTGTCCTGGGACAAGGTGACATTCATTTGTTGGGTAGAAAGCACCTTCCCGGGTCGTGTGATTCTCTCTCTCTCAGCATAACTCAGAGAGGACGTTCGTTCCCCCTAAACTGTCCCCAAGCAGCTGCCCTCCGTGTGATGCTAGGAGTCCTGACAGCTCCCCGCAGAGCCCCAGGGCCCTTCCAGAGTCCATTCCCCACCCCAAGAGAACACTTATTTTGCGTAGAAAATAAGGTTAAATGTCTTTCGTTTAGGATGCCTCGACGTGTAGAGTAAGAGGAGAAATGGAGAAGTCAGGTCCAGGGCCGGGATTGGGGCTGGCATTCGTTCTTAGAGTTTTCTCCCTCAGGAGGCAGAGCGCTGGCTGTTGTGTCTCCACTGTGTGTGCGCGTGGGGATGGCCCAGGAGGGAGCAGGGAGGAAACGAGCATTCCGACTGAAATGGGACTGCTCACTTTTATCCTGATGCCAGCAAGGTCCCAAAGTTAGGTCTCTTTGGTGGAATGAATGTAAATTTCATCGCTCCCTTCTGCAGCCTTAACCTCAGTCAGGTTAAGGCAGGTTACTCTGTTTCTCTCTCATTCCCTTTCCTATTTACTTTTTTCTTGTGTTCTGAAACTATTGTCAATCTTTAACAAAACTGTGCTGTTATCTTTTTTAATGTTAAAATAATTTAACACTGTCAACTGTAGTTTGTACAGATGTATGTCAGAAAAAATGTACAGTGTGTGTCAAAATATATTTGAAAATCTTGTTGCTGTTGCTATTAATGCCTGCCTCTCTGATTTTGTGTCTGTCAGGGAGCGTATTAAGATTTGAAATAGAAATTAAGAACTGTGGGAAGCACGTTTGTTAGATTGCTGCTTTGGGAAAGTGAGTAATGTTTCTTACAGCTTGCGGTTTCCTATTAATTTCCTTCTGAGTAACAAAATCACCCAGATGACTCGACCCTCTGAGGAAGGGTGCCTTCTGGACGCGGGGGGTCAGTGAGAGCGCAGACGAGTTTGCGCTCCTAAGGTGTCGCCTGTAGAAAGCCAGGGGTAGCCTATTTTTGGTTTTGTCTTGTCTTTACACTCAGCAGTCACAGGTAAGTTAATCTCCCACCAGAAACTGAAGGACAAAGAGAGACAGACAGACGGAGCGGCAGAGGAGGACTGAGAGCTAGTGGGATAGCGGGATGGGGACGGATGTAGTGGCTGGACGCGCTGCCCCAGGACCTGAGCGCTCGGCCGTGTGTCCCCTCCTTGGAGTGCACACCAGGTGGCTCCGGAGCAGGGTGAGCGCACTTGGAGTCTCAGGAGCGCCCGGTGCCAGGTCTCTCTGCCCGTTTCCGTCACAGCAGTCATGTTAACCCTCCACCTTCCCAGGATCCGGTACCATCGCTGGGGGCTGAGGGTGAACACGTCCTTGCGGGCCGTGCGGGTGGGCAGCGGTCCCCCCACCCTGACCTTTGCGCTTTTTCTATTCCCGCCTGCAGAGGCGACAGGAAGAAGGGTATTACAGCCGCCTGGAAGCCGAAAGGCGCAGACAGCACGACGAGGCCGAGCGCAGGCTGCTGGAGCCCGAGGAGCCGGGGCTGGGCCGGCCCCCCCTGCCGCGCGGCTACGAGCCGCCGCCCCCGTCCCCCCCGGCCGGCGCGCCCCCGCCCCCGCCGCAGCGCGGCGCCTCCTTCCTGCAGGCGCAGGCGCTGTCCCCCGACGCCCTGTACACCGCCAAGCTGGTCGCCTACGGCGAGGAGGAGGCGGAGGACGGCAGCCTAGCAGGTCAGCACCGGGGCGCCGGCACGAGCAAGTCTCCCGGGGCCCTGCCTCCCGCCGCGCCTCCGCTGCAGCCCCCGCGCCGGCCGCGCCCGGCCTCCGATGGCATCTTTCTCTCCAACTCATTCCAGCCGCCCTCGGCCAGCGCCAACAGTACTGCTCACGAAGCAGGCCAGCCCCCGCCCCCTCCAAAAAAGCCAGGCGTCCGCGCGCCCAGCCACTCCCGGGGTCGAGGTAAAGAACGGACCGGCCGGCTCCTCGGCCCGACGGCACCCTGGAGCCGCGCCTCCGCCCTAGGGCCGCCCGTGATCGGCGCTTGCTCTGGGGTTCGATCTCACCTGATCGCTAGTCTCGGCGTGGTGGTCTCCCTCTGTTCCGATCGATCGTAATGTCTGTGCTCGCACTCTCTCAGGGAAACACACCTCAGTACTCCGATTGCTTCTTTCCTTTAAAGAATTCGATTTTTGGATTGGCCGGCGGCAATCACTCCCCTCTGTTACTCCTCAGACCCTTGAAGTACTGTTGGTCTCGGTCTTCATCTCTGCCTCTTCAAATAATCCTTCTATTTGGAGGAACAACACCCTTTTCACGCATTTTGGTGTCTAAAGATGGTAGTGTCACAGTTAGGTGTTCAGTTCCCGTCATTTAACTTAAGTAGAACCCGTGCTCTGGGATCAGCTGCCACGTGGCGGTGGCTTGTGAGCTGACTGCTGCGTCTGGTGGTCTGGGTGCAGCAGTGGGCGCGCTCTGCTGAGCGGGGTTAGTGGCCCTGCTCAGGGTGAGCTGCCCCGCCAGGGCCAGAACCTGGTCGCTGTGGAACGGCTCTTTCCCCTGACTGGTGTCATTCCTTCCGGCGCCTTCTCGGAGCTCACAGCGCGAACAGCCAGCCCGCAGTGTAGGCGTGCAGCTGGAACCCGCTGGTTGTAGTCCTTCCTGCCAGCTGCAGAGCGCCACAGCGCTCCTGCCTCTGCCTGGACTCGGGGCTCACTGTGCAGCCAGTGGGCAGTTCGTGAGACAGCCCCGAAAGTAGTACTTCAAAAGGTAGCTGAATTAGAAGGAATCCCATTTCAGACTAGGCCTGCTGCTCTAAACAAACCTGCGATGCTGGCAGTAAACGAGTGCAGGAGTCTGACAGATGGGCTCACAGCAGTTCCAAGAGAAGCTGAATCTTCATAACTCACGTAATCGCGACTCACGTAACAAATGAGTTTTGCCGGGATCTTTCTTCCCACCTGAGCCAGAGCTTTGATGCTCTTCAAAGGTTCAGAATATAATAATATTTAGGTTGAGTCACTCAGAAGCCAAAATTAAATCTTTTTTTACAATTTCTGTTGTAAGTGTCTAGAGTGTAATACCTTCAGAGACACTTACGGAATAATAGTAATTTTTTAAATGAGATGCCATTGTTCTCCTTGCGTCAGATTACGAGCTGAACTTTAGATATTTTGTAAGCGTCATGACCCAAATAAATACGAGGTTGGTGACGGGGTGTTGTAGGAGGTGTCACTTCTAACCATCTTGGCTTTTCAGTCGCACCACTAACCCGTGTTTTATCTCACACCTAACACACCGCATAGGAGCAGGATAGACCCTGCATCTCATTGCTCGGGCCTCTGTGAAGACTTCCTTCGTAAAGTACAAGCTGTCTGCACCAAACGCAGAGGCATTCTGACCTTGCCATCCGCCATCTCACGACATTGCCGCGCTCCCGTGTGCCGCTCTCTGTCGTGAGCGCTCTGGGAAAGCATGCTTCTGCGGGCCGGACTTGCTCTCTTTCACTGGGTGCCGGAGGAACAGAATGGGGTGTGGAGTGGGATGGATAACGGCAGATTTCAGCCTAGCAGCACATTGAAAAATAGTCTTCACCAAAGTTCTTTGAAAATCATTTGAAATGTGTGATATTGATTCATATATTGTCAGCTGACAGTATTTGATATTCTGATTAACTCTAAAAATTTTGAAAATTTTTAAGAATTGATTTTTACCAGTGGAAGAAGCAAGTATCATTCTTAAAACAAAGCTCAAAAGATACATTTTTAAAAACAAACAAAATGAAGAAAAAATTTAGAATTAAAATTGAGAAAATTCCACCGTGCAAAAATAAATTGTCCGAAGGCCCGCTGTGGCTTCCTTTCAGTTGGAGATGTGTTTCTCGTTCATCTTTTGAGTCTTTGCCGAGGGTGCCCTCTGATAGCGTGATTCTAGGAGCCCTGCTCTGAATAACAAGGAAAGATGCAGTGCACAGAGGGGTCGTTGAGCCTTAGCTGAGCTCTGCCGCACGTGTGGCAGGTGTGTTCTTTGTAGCAGGTCCTGTTATGGAGAAAAGAAACACAAAAATTTGTCTCTGTGCAACTTGTCTAAAAGGGATAATTTTAATGTTGAAACTTTGTAATAATCTTGTGGCCTGTTTAATCCAGTACACAATACTGTCAGTGTTCATTGAAGATTTTGACCATTTATTTCTACAGCCCGTGCTCTTGGAAGCAAAAGACTTTTCAAGTGTGAAATTTTCTTTTTCTTGCTGCTGTTACACTTAATAGAAATGTATTAATGCTAATTTAATACATTATTCTTTTAATATGTCATCCGTGCCACTGTAGTCTTATATTTGGGTGCATTTATGAAACTCTTATCTGCATCATTTCTTTTGACCTTCAACAACCCTGGAGTAGACAGGGCAGGTGGTGGTGTTACCAGACAGGTCGATGTCACTCCTTGTTCTTACTTGCCAGCCACAGGCCGAGCTGGGGCCGCAGGCCAGAGGGGTGCACAGTCTCTCTCTTCTCTCACTCCGTGCTGCTGGGGTCTTGTTTTATTTTGTCTGTGATTTCATATCTCCTGCACTAGTATCAAACCCTAGGGTTTTTTGGTAGCTTGTTTGTTTAAAACGGGTTTTTTTTGTTTTAATAATTATAGTCACTTATATATTTTTTTTCTTTTTGGTGAGGAAGATTGGCCCTGAGCTAACAACTATTTCCAGTCGTCCTCTTTTTTTCTTTCTCCCCAAAGCCCCAGTACATAGTTGTATATCCTGGTCGTAAGTCCTTCTATTTCTTCTACATGGGACATGCCTCAGCATGGCTTGATGAGCAGTGTGTCGGTCCATTGCCCAGGCCCCGAACTGGCGAACCCCCAGCCACCTAAGCAGAGTCTGTAAACTTAACCACTCTGCCCAGGCCTGGCCCCTATAGCCACTCATTCTGAGAAAAGATTTGGTGGCTGTCCTGAGAAGTGGAACTTCAGTCATGTGATTACTTCTTAATCTTTGGGCTATATTTGCTCTCAGTGATTTTGCAAGAAAATTCTTAGTGTCTGGAGTGTCTGAAAAGTTTTGCTAGCTCCCCATTTAAGTCAGTCTTTGTGGACTTTTCTTCCGAATTCCTGATAGTTACGCATTTTGTCTGATTTGGACTTTTCGGCTGTTACTGTCTGAGACCTGTGTGTGTCTCTGATGCCGGAGGACAGCAGGCCAGGCCCTCAGCCCCATGTGACGGTCGTGGTTGGATCACTCAGGCCACTTAGGGACGTGAGATTAAGATTGATGGACCTCTGGTCTGATTTGAAGAGGCTTCTGCTTCCTTTATTCAGTAGTTAAAGATGTCTCATGGCTTCTATGGGCACTGCATCTTTATCAGGAGCAAAGTTTGGGAAATGACGCAAGCACTTTAACTTTGACTTCTTCTTTTATGGAAAAGGACCAAACTCTTACACGGGATCTGCTGGGACAGCCCTCGGTGCCCATGATGCTCATCGGGATTCAAGAGAGAGACTGTCCAAAAGGTATTTACAGTTGTCCTAGACAAGTGACTTCATCGGAATTGGTTTCTTTTTTCCTTCCCCTCGCCATGTTTGTGTGAGGCTGGATTCAAACTTCAGAGACATCATCAGCCCAGATGCTGCTCATTGTACAAAACTATGAGCGTCCATGCTGTGTGTGTATCTTGTGTTGCTGGAGCAATTCTGTTTCAGACAGTGGGGAGGTACCAGGCTTTCTAGTCAGAACTTAAGAAGCAGCTGGGCCTGCTGCTGTTGCTTCCCCTAGATAAGGTCGAAAGTTCTCCAGCAGTGTCCAGGGGCCCCGCTGGGCTGCAGAAGGCCGGCGCCCATGTCACAGGCAGGGGCCCTGCTCGGCTGCAGAAGGCCAGTGCCGATGTCACAAGCAGTGGCGTGAGCTAATCCAGAAAGCCCTCCTATATCCCTGCAGCTTGTTAAGTTCGCTGTGTTGATGGACGTCCTCAGACGCACACAGGATTCATTACAATGTTCTGTCCTCTTCAGCTAAACTTAACTCTTGGGAATTCCCTGCACTCCTATGGGAATTTGAAGTTGAAGTTACTGGCTTTTTGAGAGTCACATGTGACTGGAGAAAGTTAACATTTTAGTAAGGAGAACACTTTGCCTTTTTCTGCATGTGTTTAAATACAGCCCCAGTAAGTTTCACTAAAGGTAGAGGGTCGTGGCACGATTAAAGAATGAGTCTCTCTCACAGGAGGTCTCACTGAGCTGCCCGCTGTGTAAACTTAGCTCCTTGTCGACAGGCTGTGTCCATCTTGACCAATAATCTTGTGCATTTCCCCCTAATGCAGCCAAGACGCAGATGCACCTGGAGGTTCTGGGGCCCCTGAAAACTTGACCTTCAAAGAACGCCAGCGCCTCTTTTCACAAGGTCAGGATGTGTCCAATAGAGTCAAAGCGTCTCGGAAGTTGACAGAGCTGGAGAACGAGCTGAACACCAAATGAGGAGGGGGGCGCTGCGGGCAGGGCTTGGAGACGGGAGAGGAGGCTGCGTCCCCAGGTCCCCACCGCTGCCTCCACAATGTCAGGATGGAGACGTTCCAGTTCCGAGGAATTCTATTTTATTTTGCCGAGAGATTGTCCTTTCTACAATTTAAATACTAATTTCCTAAGTCTCTGACTCACATAAAGGTAACTTTTTTTTAGTTTCTTTTCTGGAGTCTGAGTTTGAAAGGGGACAGAATGAAGGGCCGTAGAAGATAATGAAATGTTTCTCCTCCCGTCTCTTCCCCAAGGAGCACAAAGAAGTTTCATTTCTGTTCTTTCTCAAAGACTTTCTTTTAGCTCACGCAGAATAGCTTGAACCACCCAGACTATCGTTTGCACTATTTAGTAGCAACTGCACACTGTTCTCGGGACGAGTCAGGTCTCGCCTCCCCGGGGAGAGGGCTTGCGAGCACGTGCTGTCTGTACGTCGAGCGCAGCCCACGTGGCAGCCCCTCTGGTCTCTGCGTGGTCACGACGCAGGAGGACGATGCGCACCAGAGACTTTGCTCCATCTCATTCCTTGCAGGTACACGCCCGCCTGATCAATGCTAAACGTGTGATTGGAAAGAATTTCTCCAAGAAGAAAATGTTGAGGATTTAAACTTAGGAAATTTTATTTTTATAAATATCAGATTATTGTTAGACTAATAAATCATTGGTGATTTTGAAGATGGCAGTTAAGTTAGAAAGTTAACTAAATATTTCAGGTATTCTAAGGGAATCTGTGAAAGAAGATGTCCTTAGCCGCACGGTGTTGCTGTGAATAGGAACGAAAATACCTGAGAGGAACCGAGATTAGCAGCTGACACTCCAGCACAGCTGTTGTTAGAGGTTTTAAATTTGCAGCACTAGATTTCCCTTGGTATGCTGTCAGGGAGCGGAAGGGTTCAACTGCATATGACATCTGTAATTTAAATATTGTAAGAATAACTCATGGCAGTTCAAGCTATTTTTTTACACTCTAATAGAGTTATTTAATTTTCATTGTTGAATTATCAGTCACACTGTCATTTCTTCAGCTATGGCTATGTAGCTGACGTTGGGGAGATGGACCTCACTTTGTTTATGTTGTGATGTTAAAATGGTAAATTACTTTGTGATTACGAGCACATTTTCTATTTGACAAAGCCCTGCTGTGGGGTCTGGGTGATTTTCCTGTACCGTATTGTTCTCTTACAGCTGTGTATGTTCAGAGAACGTACACACTTTGAAACAGAAGAGGAAGAGGCTTTCTGGCCTTACGATCACTTTAATGAGAGTTGTATGAGGAATCATTAAAATGCGAGTGTAAATATTTTTGTGTCAATCAGGGTTCTTATTTGGAAGTGTGCTTTTACTGTTTCCCGTGTTTAAGTAAGAGTAAAATGCAAGGAAGGACCGGCGTGCTGGCTCCATGCACGCGGCAAAGTGGGCTCCTCCCCGAGGCCTGGAGAGCGCTGGCCGCCTGGTGGGATGCGGCCCACCCCTTCTTTATGGAAAAAGATGCAGGAGAACGACTCTCCTGTTAATATGTGGAAAACAACAAATACACATACGTCCGCGCAAACGCATGTAAATAGCTACATCCAGGGACGTTTGTGTGTGTGCCTGTGAGCCCGTAACAGGAGGATTTGGCCATCCTTAGATGAGGTCAAATGTGAATACATGGGAAGTGCTTTTCCTGCCTGTGCGTCACTGTGGAAAACGTCACAACTGCTGTAGTGTCCCTTTCTACTGTATTTCATTTGCAGCCTATTTTTAATAAACTTTGTATGTATTTAAGTGTGTTTGCTGTTATTTTAATAGTGCTGACAAAGCTTGTATTAGTACTGTCAGCCCCCCACCCCTGGTCCATTGATTTGTTAAGCTGAGCGCCATTTCCGTGTCAGGCAGCATGCTCGGTTTGTGGGGAAGTGCCCTCTGTCCCCACCATGCAGCCGGACGTCACGAAGCTTCCAGGTCCCCCCGACCGTGGTCCCCTACACTCAGCCCCCAGACTTTTGTGACCTCTGCTCAGCACGTTAGCAATCCCCAGGGCCATTAGGACTCTCTCAGTGACGCTGTCACAGCATCGCCTCCTTGAATTCTTAAGCATGCCCAGGAGTTCGCAAATTGCATACACAAGATGTCCTGGTGAGATGTGTTTGAGGGTGGGGACCCCCCCCTGAGGTGGCTCACGTGGCGGGGTGCGTGATTACAGAAGTGCCAGGCCCATGCCGCGTGCAGATGGAACAGGGCCTCGGCTCAGCCCTGCCCCTCGGACACGCTTCCTCCTGTCCACGCACCAGCTGCGCGTCCCTGTGTCTAGCTGACCTTCTCTCCACGGCCTCTGGGCAGGAGTGCCGGGCTCGGACCGCGCCCAGCATTTCAAGACGACTTTGAGGAGGAGGCAGTGTCTCAGGGTTGTAGAAACTGGTGGAGATCTTTTTGGCAGAACCACGTGTTCACAAATTGAAACAGCACTTTTGGTATGGTTTTTTTTTTTTCTCTCCCCAAATCCCCCTAGTACATAGTTATATATTTTAGTTGTGGGTCCTTCTAGTTGTGGCATGTGGGACACCACCTTAGCGTGGCCTGACGAGCGGTGCCATGTCCGCACCCAGGATCCAAACCTGCAAAACCCTGGGCCGCCAAAATGGAGCGCGAGAGTGTAACCGCTCGGTCACGGGGCCGGCCCCTCACTTTTAGTATGTTTTAATGCCCAAAAGGGTACTTTAAAGTTTGGGGAGTCAAAAATTTAGAGTCTGGGGGCTGGCCCCAGTGGTGCAGTGGTTAAGTTCTCATGTTTCGCTTCAGTGGCCCAGGGTTTCACCTCTTGGGATCCCAGGTCAGGACCTATGCACCGCTTGGCAAGCCACGCTGTGGTAGACATCCCACGTATAAAGTAGCAGAAGATGGGCACGGATGTTAGCTCAGGGCCAGTCTTCCTCAGCAAAAAGAGGAAGATTGGCAGCAGATGTTAGCTCAGGGCTAATCAAAAAAAAACAAAGTGTCTGTATTAAGACTGATTCAGTCCCGTCTCAAGGCCGTAGTTCTGTTGCTCTTAGTGGAAGTAGTATTCTCTCCTACTGTGGTCTCTGTCTCTGGGGTCCTGTAAAAATCGCCGCGGGCACTTGACGGTGTCCTAGTTTGTGCCCTCGGACAGCGGTTTCCTCTGATTTACTGCATGGAAAACTGATTTCAGAAATTTATTTCCACGCTTACGGTAACATTAAGCCACAGCAAAAGTTAAATGGAATGACTTGCAGAGGGAAAAAAATGACAGCGCAAAAAGTGACAGGTTTCTCCTTCTAGTATTCATCCAATTTACTCAAAGAAGTCATGTAACCCTAAAAGACACATATTCGACTTGAATTGGGATATAAAAGACAATTTCTTGCACAGTTTATTCAACAAATACAATTTAAGAGTTCCTACTCAGTGTCGGGCACTGGGGACACGGTGGTCCCGTGTAGCCCACAGCAGGTCTAGGAAGACAGAAAAGTTTGTGTAAACATACAGTTTAGCACTGGATTTGTTTAAGGGAGATGCACAGGGCACTTGGAGGGTTCAATGGAAAGATCCGGTGTAAATTGTGGACATGGTAGACCGTTTGAGAAAACGATGCTCCCTTTTGAGAGAGAAGACTGTTGCAGGTGGAAGGAAATCCCGGAGGCCAAGAGGCCGCCACCCTCAGAGAAGCCGTCAGGGAGCCCAGAGCCAAGGGCAGCGGGGCCTCGGGGACCGGGGTCCAGGGGGGTCTTAGTCACGATAAGAAGGTTTATATTCTTCATGCAGCTTCCGGCCAGGTTTCGTAAAGCCACGTGAGGCCAATCAGTTTACTCCGGAGCGTAGCTGCGGTCCCCACACGGAGAAGGGACGGGAGTGGAAGGCTTCCGCCAGAGCCGCGGGACGACGCGGGCCTGGGGCTTCCCTCTAGCCACTCTGCAGTCCGGAAAGCTACGCAGGTGGTGGGGAGGATGACGGAGATGGAGGTGAAGGCTGAGCGGCCTGGGGCGGGCAGGGCACAGCACCGTCCCGAGTGGAGTTGGCAGAGGCTGTGACGCCAGAGGTGAGGCAGGCGGGATGGCTGCGCAGACAGCGCTCTCCCTTCAGACGAGACTCCGGGGCGCCGTCTTTCAGCTCAGCGGCAGTCCTCCCACACGTCTTCACTGGGTGAAGCCTTGTTTTTCCCTCGGCTTGTAAAACTTGTGTTTGATTTTTTTTTATGGAGACTACAGGTGCAAAGGGCCTCAACCTAAATTGGTGACAATGGTTCCAACTCCAACTTGAATTTTTTAAAATAATAGGATATTAAGTAACACCAGAAAAAGGGAGACGTGGAAAACACTAGGTAAGTAGGACAGCTTTAAAGGGGTCCTGCCTCCACCAATTTTCTTTCCATGGGAACAGGCCCCAAAATAGAACAAACTATCTGAGTCAAGCAAAATATGTAACGTGGTCTAAACAGTGTATCCAAAATTAGGAAAGTGAAGCATAGCTGGGGCGGGGGGGAGGGGGTGTTCTTGGTTGCTTTGATTTCTGTTCTTTAAGTATCAATACCTGAGTACTTGAATGTTACTAAGGTAAATGTGGAAACTGTCCAAAATTCTCCAAATCTCTGTGGCTATAGAGTTGGATGTATTGAAATGAACCTGTCTTTCCTGGTAATTTGTGATGTTCCCTGAACACCGTTCTTTCAGGGGCTTTAAGTGATCTTTAATAAAATGAAAGCGATGGCTCAGCGAAGACCGGATGTCGCCGTCTGCTTATTTCCCTCTGAATAGGTCATTCAGATCTTCTCTCTCAGAAAGAATCCCTGTCTCCTGTCACAGCAAGACACGAGTGGAACACAGACAACGGGAAATCGGGATGAAGGAAGCGGGCACGCAGGTGTGAGAACCACGCAGGCTGACCGCCTCGTGCTGGGGTTTGCGTGTGGCTGTCAGCCTCTCGTCCTGCCCCTCGAGGGACTGGTCATGTCATCAGAACAGGAGCAAGATATGAGAGCCTTAAGGGAGAGTCTTCCCGGCACAAAGCTGGCACTGACAATGTTCTTGATGTGTCTGGGCTGAGCTCTCACATGCGCACGGGCCTCTGGCTCCCTCCAGAAAACAGCTCTCGGCTGGGCTGCCGACCGGAAGTGGACAGGAGATGGTTTGATCCCACTGGCTGGTGCTAAAGAGAACCGGGCCGGACAGCAGTTAGAGCCATAAAAGCCTTTTACTCAGGACCACTGCAGTAGGGGAAAAGAGACCTCGGTGTAGACAGGCTCAATTCCAAATACGGCGAGAACAGGTGTGCTCAGTGGATGGAGAAGCACTGAGGAGACATCATGGGTGTGGCCACGAGGAATGCCCGGACGAGGCCTGGTCGGGAAAGGGGTCCGAGGAGAGTGTCAGCGGGGCTGGGAGAAACTCAGAAATGTCTGCATTCTGCGGTGCTCGTTATCATCGGTCTCATCACGTCAGGTCGCCGGCTGTCAGTGCTTACCTGTCGCCTTCTCTGCTAAGTTGTAAGTCCTGTGACCACAGGGACCGAGTCTTTTTGCTCATCACTCTGGCTCCCAGCACGATGCCCGGCATACAGTACATGCTTAGTCTATATTTGCCACATAAAGTCAAGTGTGGACACTGAGGCAGTGATCAGGACGTGGCGTGTTAGAAAGCTCTGGAATGGGAGGTGGGAAACCTCGGTCGGCACTGACGACTGGCCCCGACCACACGTTGCCTCACCCCCTGGTGATGGGCTTCTAGGTTGCCTGCAACGCCCTGCTGCTAAAACCCATGCAAAATGCATCTCCTCTGAGGGGTCCCTTAGGCACCTGGGGGAGGCTCTAGGAGTGGGTTTGCTGGATCACGTGTGTGCACAGCACACACACACCATGCATGTGCACATCATATGTGTGCACATCACGCGTGTGCCTGTACTGAACCTCACCAGGCAGGGCCAGAAGGTGGTCCGTGGTGGCTTTGCCAGCCCCTAGGAGTGAGGAAGGAAACCTCTTGCCTTGCATCCCGCCAACACATGTGCTCGTGTTACACCTCTGTGACGCTACTCTTTTTTTGTTATTTGTCAAATTAAGGCAGTTTCTACTGATTGATCTGCTACGGAAGATGACGCCTTAGCTTGTTCACGGTGTCCTCGTTTCCGTTCCCCTGCCGCCTCTATTCTTGACTCCATCAGTTATTCTGCAGACAGTGCATTGGGCTCCTGTGCCTGCCAGACTGTCGTAGCTGCTGGGGATCCCTCAGCCCTGCCCTTCGGAGCCACGTGCTGCGACGGCCGATGAGCAGCAATGACTGTATAGCTCCGCGTCTGGTCTGCCAGGTGTGCCCAAGCCTGAGGACAGGCAGCAGGACAAGACGGATGTGGGTGCTACTTCATCGGGGAGGGTTGGATGACAATCCTGAAGGAGGGTGAGAGTGAGCCGCAGGCGTGTCTGGAGAGGTCGCGGGCAGAGAGAACCTCAGAGCAGAGACTGACGTGGGAGTGTACCTGGCTCCCCGAGGACAGGCCCAAGCTCACTGATCCTGGAGCCAAGTGGGAGGGAAGGGTCAGAGAGGAGCCGGACACCGAGGCAGGGGAGGGCGTGGACCACCGTGAGCTCTTTGGTTTTCATGCTGAAGGAAATGGGAAGGCGCTGGGAGGAGGTGATGGACTCCCATTTGTAAAACCACTCAGTTGAGACTAGACCGTAGACGGCTAGTGTAACGACCACGCAGTGGACAGAGGTGGCTTCACAGTGATGGGGTAGCAAGAACGGGCTGGTGCCGCCACTGTGTGCATCCAGCAGGATTTGT